TTATTTAGATACATCTCTTCACACAGTGAGATCTGTGCTTAGCAAAACTGGAGCAAACATATCCATTTTTTTCCCCTATAGGTATGGTAAATGCATGCCACCAAGAGTTGATGCCAAAGAGCATCAACAGCTGCTCCTCCACAGCTGAGAACATAGTCACATATACATGCAATTAACCATTATTCAGACTCTGACAATCTTGGTCCAAAATTTTGAGTACCCTCCAAAGAAGAAACCTATTAAAATATCAGTTGTTGCTTTCATGAACATAAAGGGGGTATACAAAACCCTGATGTTAAACACACGCCAACAAAAGCATTCTTTCTGCACAAACCTCCATCTGTCAAGGTTGGTGATATCAAAAAAAAAAACCAACAACAACAACAAAAAAAAAAACCCTGAAAAATTTACTTGGAGGAGGTTTAGATCTGTTAGATAGCTCCAATACTTTAACTTCTCTTGTGGCCTTCAGTTTTGGTGTTTTTTTTTTTTTCTCAACCTGGTCTTTAGCTGTTTAGTGGTCATGGGGATGGAGAGAGAAAAACTAAAACTGTCTTCTGTTGCTAAATCAGGATCATAGTAACCTCCAAACTGGACCCAGCTTCAGGTCATTTACTGTAGTATCTTGTCTCTCAAAAAGTAGCCCATGGCAGATATTTCAAAGGAAGGCATAGGAAACCTTACAAAAGTAAAATGAAAAAATTTAGTCTAACCCCTAACTGGCTTCATGTCCAAAGTTGGACTTTGGAGAGAGGTGTCCCCCAAAATCTCTTTTTTATTAGTTCTAACACCGATCTTTTGAGTAACCCCATAAGACGTTTGACATTTTATAAATATACAAGCTGCATTTGTCAAAAAGGACCTTCCAGTGATGGTGAACTGTCTGGTGTGACTGAACACATCATATGAAAGACACTCAAAGTCCTCATGACTTCATTTTTCTGTGTAATCAAGACTCTAGGTGCTATGAGCAGAACTTGAGAGTGTCTCTCTTTCCAAGGTGCTAGGCAGTTGTTAACTCTGCACTGTGATTTGTATTTAAAACATGTTAAGACCACTTTGTCTCACTTCTCTGCTTTTGCAGAACCATGTGGAGTCACCAGCTTTCTAAAAACCCAGAGTACAGCAACACCCACAACTGCTTCCCTGTCTATTTGGCTTTCAACTCTCCACCTTCCCCATCCCACGAGTGGCTCTTTGCTTTCTTACAAAGGCAAGTGGAATGAGGGAGCTCAATTAATGACTCTTACTCAGACTTTGCATTACCATATATTAATTGAATTAATCCAAATACTAGCTAACATTTTCCCCACTAAAACTCATTGAAAATTAAGGATTTCTAAGTTAAGCATACAAAACCCTATTTATTCTAACCCATTTCTCGCTAATGACAGCTAAACTAGCAAATGTAAATTATTGTCTGACAGTATCAGGCACTATAGTCGTCATTGCCCCACATAGAGTTGTGCTGTATAATTTATAAGGATGCCTACATCCATTTTTGAGAACCCTGCTTGCCAGTGCACGGAGCAGTAGTCAGCACCCCGTGCCTCCCAGAGCTTTGGTGCTGAAGTAACTGTGCACAAGGGATAAGGATTCGTTTTCCCACTCCTTCCTGCACACAGCTGTTTATCCAGAGTGCAGTGCAGGTGTGTGTGTTCCACCATCCCATTAGGACCATTTCCTAAGCACCACCCCACAACCAGAGTCCACACAGCAGAAAACAGGGGTGAACCACACTCACCTACCAAGCAGGGGAGCATGTTAAGGAGGAGACTGATTACAGAATTCACTGCAGATCACGTTACCTATCCACCTTCAAAAATCACAGGGAAAAGTTCTTCCTTTGCAGTGTCTTCCATCCTTCCCTCAGTGATGCTTGCTGACAGTGAATTTCTGCAAAGAACACAGGTAGGGTTGAAAGAAACACTACAGCAACTGAACTTCATTCATATTGTTTAGCACTGGACTCGAACCCAGCTCTGAAATCTGGATTTCCATCATTTCCCCTCCAGAAATAGGAATATGCCAATGGGATATTGGCATAAATGGGTTTGGATTTTCACAATTAATAAAATTCAGGACCCAGATTTGGAGAGGAATCTGTTTTAAATTCTTCAGCCCAACAGAGTTCATGGAGAGGATTGGGATCAGAGTCTGGATTCGGGTCCAAATATGATATGAAGTATTTCAGTCCTCTGATCTACTTGCTATTAACACAGCATGCAGTATAATGTTTTCCTCAGCACGGGGAGTTGTGGTTTTCTGCAGATGCATGCAGCAAAGTAATTGTATTCAATTAGATGCCAACGAACATGCAGCCTTGTAGCCCAGATGCTGCTGTATGGCAAACAGTGCATGCAGCATTATTCTCATTCCACCCAGTGCGAAACTACACTCATGCACACAACACAGTGATGAAGACTCATTACACTCTAACAGATTTAACAGTAAGCATACAAACATACTATATAAACTGCAAACACCGTACATATGGCAAAAGAATTTTACCTGGTTGTTTTTTGTTTTGTTTTGTTTTTTTAAATAAACAGCCTGAGGGCACAAAGGACCTGGCCACACAAGCCTAAGGGTGGCCCCTTTCTGTGACGATGATGGAAGGTTTCAGATGATCTTAGGACCACTTGCCACCTGCGATTATCTCAGTAGTCTCGCCTGCTAGTCCTCCTGCTCCTCCACTATGTTGAAAATGAAATGCTTCTGTTCATCTTGGTGCCCAAGAAAGTCATCTTGACTTCACATGCGTTACAAGGATTATCACTGGATAATTAATGATGCAACTCGTGGATTCAGCTGGCTTTTACTTATCGTTATGCATAACTGCTGACCCTTGGCTTGCACATCCATTTATTTGCTTGAGAATTCACATGCCATTACTTCCATTACACGAAAGAATAAATACAAGACAACTGATAAAACCTACTCTAGTTCTCCTATAGTGAAAGGATCTTAAGACTTCAATTGTGTGATGATAAATGGAAGATCTATTATAAATTGCACATAGCTGTTCATTTTTCCTCAAATCAGATCCAGAATTGGAATAACTAGGATAACAATACCTTTTGTCAGGCACCACCAAGGCTGTAAAGATGCAGTTAGGAGTATAACAAGTGAAAGTGCTTGCTCAGTTCTTCTACACAGAGGTGAATGTGTTGCTGCAAGTTTTAACATTTTAATTTACAAAAAGTGAAAAAGCAAAATAAAAACAAGTCGCAGGCCAGGCACAACAGCATTAGAAGGCACAGGTTGATTTTTCACATGACTGTGACAAGGAAGGAAAGACCTCTGACCAACCTGTTTAGAGTGGGGCTTCAATCCAGTTCCTGGAATTGAAGTCACAGTTCTTCATTTGTCAGACTGGTCCACATAAAATGGGAAGATACGGCTTCCCGCTTGAAAAAATACCCTGTGCTCTATAATCATAGAATCTTTTAGGTTGGAAAAGAACTTTAAGATCACCAAGTCCAACTGTTGGTGTGGCCAGAGGAAGATGAGCCAAGAAAATGCTCACCATGTAGTCAAATGCGCTATAACTTCAGCAGAAAAAAATATAATTCCAACTCTGTTTCACAATAAAAGCGAAGAATCAGTTTTGTATTGAAAGAGCTGTAAGACAAAGATACTTTATTTGTGCAGACCATATTGCCTAAGATTAGCAAATATGTTTAAGTATTAATGGCAGAGTTATGCCTTTAAGCTACATAATAAGAAAAGTGCAACACTATTCCGATGAAGACATTCAGTGAGTCTGTGCAGAAAAATAAAGCAGAAATTGGTTCACCTCCAGTTACAGAATACAAATCAGTAACTATCACAACTGTTTCATTATCCAGTATCATTTAACTTCCAAGTGGTAAACACGAATGTGCCACCTGCATTGGAACTACAAGTCGGCTTAGGCATGAAACCATTTTAAAAGGTCACTGCTGCAAGTACCACAGAAATGTATATCACGAGTTTAAGAAAGTACAGTAGCAAAATTCTCAAATGCCTCCAAAGTATACATTGCCCAAAAATCAGAATTCTGTCATTTACCTGTCCTTGTGCTTTTACACACCTCATCAATAAAAGAAATCCTTGGCTGTCTATGATATGACAAATGGTTTAAAATAGTCTATTGGCAACCATAAAACACCTAAAAGAGGTGAAATTCAAGCACTGTACCCAGCCATATCACTTTGTATGTGTTCCTTCGGAAAGGATTACTTCATTATTTCAATGCCAGAATTTGAAAATGTGGTCTCTGTTTGCTAGAAGATGTCAGTGCTACAGTCCTCCTCAATGAGCTCAGATTTTCAAGTGAAAATGCCTGCAAAACACTGTTTACTACAGTTCTCAAAAAACAGCCTCCTAGAAAAAAAAATGATTCATGGACACTTTTTAAGACAGTGTTGTACTTATGTTCTGCTCTTACAAAAACACAATGACAGGCTTAAAAGAATTGTAGTAAGAACCTAATACAAGCTTATTCTTTCTTACATACCGTCTGGAAAAGACATTTTATTTCATCTATCTCGGGAATCACTCTGGTGATATATTTTCATTTATATCCTTTGTGCAGCCAGTTTGTGATCTTACATCTTTGTGTAAGAAATTACTATAAAAACCTATAAACATGTGGGTCCAGCTCTCCAGACTAATGTTGACAAATGCATTGTAGACTTCAAGTATATTTTAATTCTCACTGACTTATTGTCACAAAATTGGTACCCATGTAAGTGCTTTATTTGGCATAACAAACAGGTCAAAATTTATTAAAGCAGTCCCTGGCACATCAGAAGACCACAAAGAAAATATCCTTCAAGTCTGATAGGAAAGATATTAAGATCAGATGAGAGATTTACCTGTAAAAGCAAAATTGAGGATTGAACTTACGGTATCACATAATTATTTATTGAGTGTTTGGCTATCTCCCTGACCATTCCACTTTGGGGACACAAGTTAGAATGTACTCTAAAAAACATACTTTTACAAAGTCTTACCTTGCAATCTGTGTCCTAGTATTGAAGTCAAGAGATCTCATTGAGCGTAAAACTTCTATACACCCCAAGTACTGTAAGGAAAAAAAAACAGTTGGAAAACATATTATAATTTTTCTTGAGTTCTGGGAGAAAATGCAGCTAATCATTAAAAGGTATTGTATGATTCTTATTTTTACATTTGATTTATCCTATGTGTCAGGTAGGTTTTTAGGATTATGTTCTTGTATGTCACAGACATATTCCATAAACATTTTATTTCATTTAAGCCTCAAGTTTGGTCCAACATATTTTTTTATGTTTAATCTAACCACTGTGATACACCTAGTTCATAATGTATTGATGTGTTTTTTAATTTTCTTCTATCTTAACTGTTCCATTTTAGGTATAGCTCATCAAAGTAAAAAAAAAAAATATTAATGAAAAAGGAAGAGTCGTAGAGGAAATTCATCTAGCATTAATAAGAAAATCTTATTTAAGTGGGAGACAACTGACCCTCATTAGTATAAAAATGGTAAAAATATAGCAGGGAAAGCTGAAAAGAGCACTAGCAATCCAAAGAGGATTCCTTAATGACCAGCTCAAGGATAGATGGGATTTAATATTTTCATTAATGACACTACTATAAAGATACATGAAAATGCTAACAAATTATACTAATAAACCCATGCTGGCAGACGGCTTTAACAGGGTCATTCAAGAGAGGAATGACAGGAAGATTAGCTAATATTAGGAGAAGACCAGACTTATTGACCCAGATTGTTGCCCTGCACCTCTATGAAAAAGAGGGAGTAGCATTAGAAAATATGTTAAGACATAACAGTATCTACAACAGGAGTGAGAAAAACTCAGGTGAATCTTCTAGATTTGCTTCCAAAAGTGGGCATCATTTGCGTGTGCCGAAGTCTTCACGCAGCTACAGCTCACGTCAGATATTTCAATAGCGGCTGTGCACAAACCAGCTCATGACCGGCGCATCCCATGGCAGTATCTTTGCATGTAGGTTTAGCACCCATCCACACACCTGATTTTTGGAAGTCAGGGGAAACAGGGATGAGCCTTTACATAATGAGCCTGATAATGCTATTCTAGTATTGTGTATCAGTTTTTATATCAGTTTTATATCAGTTTTTGTGTCTATTTGCAGCATAATGGTACTATTTGGGTACGCAACCAGTGGGGGGAAAAAAAAAATCAAGGGAATATCTAGCTTGTTTTCACATGTCTATAATTATTTCATTTATTGCTATCAAATGTAGTCATTAAAACACTGAATAAAATACACTAGAATATCAAGTGACCCTTATTCATTCAATCACTCAAACTTGAATTATTATAGCCCACAGTTTCTGGGAAGGGTTTTTTTTTCCAAATCCACTTCCTAAATTTTCTAAAAATCTCCTGCAATCTTACATTTTTTTGAAAATCTCGTAAAATCCTCACAGACAATGTCTGTATTGATCCTGGCACATGGATCTTCCAAACCAAGGGTCATACTTTCAAGCTGTTTAGATTACCATCACTCCTCTGACAGTGTGAAATAGGTAACCCTCGTATATTGTTAGAAATAGATTCCTTTTTTACATATGCTTCTGCCTGAGAACTTAAAGCATCCAGAACAACATTTTCATGCTCTGATGCAGGAAGTTAAGCCATTAATTCTATTTTTAAGTACCTCAGAGGGTGATTTGATTTGCTTAGAGATGAAGTTCGTTAAACATCAATTGAGATAATCAGCTGAAGTCAGTTAACTTATGCCAATATACAGCAATGAAAGATGTTTTCGTGTGCTGTTTTTGTGTCGTTTTGCTCTAGTTCTAGGATGCTTTTATACATAAATTTTCCCAAATATTTATTTCACATGAGGTACTTCTACAGATAAATATGCTGTAAATGGTATAACTATTCAAAGGTATACCGGTGATTTTTCTGTTACTGAAATACTTGGGTTTCATTATTTCATCAACCTCTTCATTTAGACAGCTTGATACTAAAACACTCTCAGATTTTACTTGTTCCTTCATTAATCTATATTTGCCCTAAGCCTTTTAAAGTGAAGTAATTGTACAGTTTTGAGAAACAGGTCCAACATTTTAGAAGCAAATTCTAGAAGGCATTTGACAAGTACATGCAGGCGTGCAAATAAATACACAAACACATGTGCACACAACTCACTGTCAAAATAAACATACAAATAATTAGACAAATACCCATAAACATACTTAGAAGGCGTGCATTTAGACTCCTTTGAGTCATACTACCTGATCTGCATTAACAAAAGTAGAGACAAAACCAGACTGAAGGAAGGTCAGATGGAAAAATTACCCCGTACTTGTTTTATGTATAGCACAGAGACAGCTGAACACAACATAGTAAGGCTTGCAGTATTCCTGACTGATCAAGGCAAAGATGGCGACTGATTTTCTGGTATAAAAGATGTGAACACTTAATCACCACGGCATGTTTTCAAGTAACGAAATTACTATAAAAACTGACATTCAAAAGGTCCAAAGGCCAACTACAGGGACATATAACTCACCTACTGCTATGCTTCAATTATTCCCCAAGACCAACATTGCTCTCTAAAAATATCCATTTGAAGTACATCCTGACAAGGATCCACAGAAAGGAGACATACAACCAAGATAGCAAGTAAATAAATTATTCATTTATTTCAACAAATAAATATCCTGATTAAAAAGAAATGCTGTCTTTTGCTTTAGGCATTCCATGAAACATTTAAAATATAGTTATAAAACAGTCTATTTCTGAAAAAGCTCCTGTTCACCCAGCGCTTAGTGTACATTCTAACCAATTAGCTACTGCGCACTGTGATATTTATGAGCTCCCACTAGCATCCTCCCTCTCATTGCTCAGGAAACAAATATACCGAGATGCAGCCCACCTTGAAGTAGGAAGACTTGGGACTACCAGTTCCAAGTCCTCTCTCATAACAATCTGCCTTCTGTTTACTTTCTGATATGTGAATGAGTTTCCAGCTTGTATACCTTCATTGAATGTTACTACGCCCTGCGGAAAAAATCTTTCATATGAATGAACACTTTCCCATTCAGAGTTTTAGATTCATAACTAGTACTTTGCATGCTAAACAGCACCTTGCAGAAGCTGATTTAAATCTAACAGCAGAGTAGCGTATGCTCCGGGGGACCATGCCTCTCTTGTTGCAGGAGGTTCCAACATCCTTACTAGTTACAGTTTTCACGGTAAATGTAAGAGAAACCCATATATCCCAGGTTTCTGGTTTGTCCCACAGGTGAAGATTTTTCCTATATTCCCTAAAGCACCTCTGTCTTCTCTACGATGCGGTCAGAAAATTCTTGTTTAACAGCTAAAATTGTTTACTGTACCCTGTGTAAGGAAGTGTGCCGGGTTCTCCCAGCATTTGTCACAAACGGACGGTTAACACAGGAGCGCTGAGGGCATTCATGTGCTCAGAGTGAAGAGAAAAGGCAGATGAGGGTAGTCGCTGTCAGAGATGCTTTTTGCCCCACAAACATCAGCAACCTTGCTCAGTGTTTCCTAACAAGCTTGTTCAAAACACCAAATTACTGGAAGAAATCTTCCATTGTTTGACTGAGGAGCTAGTCGTAACAGCAACAATTATTTTTATAAAAAGGTAGCAAGATGTAGCCCCATGCAGCACTCCAGTAGTCCAGCCTAGGAGTGACAGATGGTTGAATAACACGAGTGGCATATGCACATCAGAGAGCAGACGAGTGCCCACAACACGGGTAGCGTGAAGATCTGCCCGTCACCTACTCTCAAGCAAAACAAGGACTCCTAATTTCTGAGTCTGGACTAGTGCAGAATCATTCGCTCACCCAAGCTGCAGGGGTGTTCTTAGCACGTGAAGAGAGACTGGGTTTCATCTGTACGACAGACGATGGCCATCAAACCTGAGTGCTTCAGAAGACTGCAGATTGTGGCTGCATCACACACAGCCTTGTGCAAGTTATGTAAGAGAGAACATGGTTACATCAGCAGACAGACATGCACTTGCACTGCTAGCCACAAATTAGCCACTGCCTTCAAATACCCACGTACCTGAAATCTGCACTGATTTCAGCATGTTTTCATATGCACTGATAACAGCCTGGGGGCTCAAAACATAGATTCCTGAGGTTCTGGGTGGTGTACGAAGATCTAATTTTTGAAAACAGAAACCTCTGAAACATATTGTAACATACCCCGTAATGAGCTGGCCAGTTCACTGCAAGTTTCTCGCCCACAGGCTTAGGCTGTACCTTTACTTGGCAAGTAAGCAAATGCAAGCATCGTTTTACTTGCCACATCGGCTCCTCAAGTCATATGCCTAAATTTTCATGATTCCATTTTTGGGGGAGACAGAGCAGGTGGGGAGTGTTTGTTTCTTTGGTTTTGTGGGCCTTTTTGGTTTGTGTTTTGTTCTTGTTAGCCAAAGAGCTGATCTGGAATTAAAGTATGCTATGAAAGTAAATGTGTAGTTAGTATGAATTTACTAGTGCTAGTTAATTCCAGCTGAGGACTCCCTTATTTAAAAATAAGAGTTTTTATTTCAAATTCAGATTATGTTGCTTCTATTACAACAACATTTATTTATGTGTCAAAATCACAGTTCCTTCTAACTTCAGATATCAACATTAACAGCCAAAGGGGCTTCTGAAATGAGCACTGTGTTCCACAATACTTACAAACTACTTCCAAGTTTGCCATCTATCCTAAATCATATGAAGATTCAAGCCTAGATATACCCTAACAAGCAGCAGGGCATAATACAAAAATAGTAACAGCCCAGGACTTGATTTCAAGAGAAGAAGTTTGTCCACATGTAACTGGAGACCCAGTCAGGATTTGTAATATCTATATTGATGCATGAAAAAGAAAATTAAAAAAAAAAAAAAGGCAACCCAAAGTCAAAGACAGAGACTGCAGGATTGATAAATACAAGTACCTTACAAATGAGTTTTTCTGTTTAGCATATTAATATGGAACAGTAAACCTGAATCATTTTGGTATCATATTAGATGAATTCCCATCTTAAATGAATTTACAATATCTCCTCTCTAAACCACTG